AGGTGAAAGCAGAACCCTCAGATATGTCGTCTTACCTCTCAAGGGAGTTGAAGTTTCCCCCTGAAGGAGGTAAAAGCTAACCCTGAAAGGGTGCACTTTTACCCCCAAAAGGAAGTAAGGTTCCCTTTTCTCCAAAAGGAGGAAATGTTGCACCCTAAACCGGGGGGTAAGTTTGCACCCTCGTTGCAGGGGGTAACACTACCTCCAAAAGGGGTTGCCCGATGTGCACGTCGGTTATCCCCTTAAGGAGTAACCTTTTGTAAGAGTGATGCGTACCGAGAATACCCCGACCGTGTTGTGAACTTGTGTGAACGCTCCACAAAACATTTCACACGGGCGTGGAGAAAATAATCGATGTCGAAATTCGCAAGTATTTAAATTATTTTTCGATGCAAAGCGCATTTTTCAAGCTATATGAAGTTGCACACAACATTAAAACGAGGGTCTTCACTTGCATGATGGTAACGCAGAGTAAAGAAAAACAACTTCTTTAATGTATTGTTACACGACCAAATAAAAGGCAGCAGGCGCAGTCAGCTGCCGCAACGATGAACAAAACCGCAGTGGAACCTAATGCCACTCAGTTCGTAGACGGAACCATGTACCATTTTGTGGTCACATGTGGTTCATGTTCGAAAGGGAAATTGGCGAGGAGGTTGAGGAAGAGGCGAGCGACACGAAAAAATGGCTTGGGAAGGCTACGTGGCTGACGTCATGCCCTCGCTGTGGTTCTAGAAACGTTGCTGAGTGGAGACGTCTGTAGGCAAGCTGCCTGCTTGCCGCCATGTCTCTACTCGTGCAAGCAAGTACGTGATTTTTGCGAGCCTCTCTAAGTCACCTTCATGCGCACGCTGCACGCGAGGGATTTAACTTGCGTGTTAACATGTTTTTGCACCGGTCTTAAACGAACTCTGCCATCAAGCTGCTGAATATGCCTATTGCTAAATTACACAAACATCGAGGAGAATGCAGCGGATGCAAGTCTACGCGCTGCACATGCTGATGTCTGCAGCAGTAACTGCTCTAAAGTAGTCGATTCCGGCTATAACGAAGTCACTGGGAATCGGAAATCACTTCGCTACATTCGCTATTTCGTTATAACCAACTTCGGTTATAAAGAAGTGCAAAAGGGAATAGGAAATCCTGATCGCTTCTCTGTATCCGCTATTTCGTTATAACCAACTTCGGTTATAACGAAGTGCAAAAAGGAATGGGAAATCCTGATCGCTTCACTGTAGCCGCTATTTCGTTATAATGACTGACATCGGTTATAGCGAAATGCAAAAGGGAATGGGAAATTGTGATCGCTTCGCTGTAGCCGTTATTTCGTTATAACCGACTTTGGCTATAACAAAGTGCGAAATGGCGGGAAATCGCGATCGCTTCGCGGTAGCCGCTATTTCGTTATAACCGACTTCGGTTACGCCGAAGTGCAAAAGGGAATGGGATATCCTGATCGCTTCGCTGTAGCCGCTATTTCGTTATAACCGACTTTGGTTATAACAAAGTGCGAAATCGAAAGGGAAATTGTGATCGCTTCGCTGTAGCCGCTATTTCGCTATAACCGACTTCGGTTTTGACGAAGTGCAAAAGGGAATGAGGAATCGTGATCGCTTCCCTGTAGCCGCTATTTCGTTATAATTACCGATATCGGTTATAGCGAAATGCAAAAGGGAATGGGAAATTGTGATCGCTTCGCTGTAGCCGTTATTTCGTTATAACCGACTTCGGTTACACCGAAGTCCAAAAGGGAATGGGTAATCGTGTGATCGCTTAACTGTAGCCATGTTTTTCGTTATAAGCGACTTCGGTTATAGCGAAGTGCAAAAGGGAATGGGAAATCGTGATCGCTTTGCTGTAGCCGCTATTTCGTTATAACCAAAGTCGGTTATAACGAAGTGCAAATGGGAATGGGAAATCATGATTGCTTCGCTGTAGCCGTTATTTCGTTATAACCGACTTCGGTTATAACAAAGTGCAAAAGGGAATGGGAAATCGTGATCACTTCGGTGTAGCCGCTATTTCGTCATAACCGAAGTCGGTTATAACGAAGCGCAAAAGGGAATGGGAAATCGTGATCGCTTCGCTGTAGCCGCTATTTAGTTATAACCGACATCGGTTATAACAAAGTGCGAAATAGAATGGGAAACCGTGATCGCTTCGCTCTAGCCGCTATTTCATTATAACCGACATTGGTTATAGTGAAGTGCAAAAGGGAATGGGAAATCGCGATCGTTTCGCTGTAGCCGCTATTTCGTGCAGCCTCTAAGGGAACGCGGGCAGCGGTTTGGGCAGCTCGGTTAAGGTAGAGCCAGTAAACGAGCTACGCTTAGGGTATAGGTACTCCGTTCCCCTACATTGCTGTGGGCGCCACCATTTTGGTGCTTGTGCAGAGCAGACGCCACTGCCGATCGCCATGATTCAAAAGTGTGACTTTCTCATCATGAGGTTCGGTGTGAGGAAGCTGTTGTAATATTGTTTTGCTTTGTCGCGAACTGTTTAAACATTTGCGGAGGACGGAAAAGCGTTTCTTGTGATTTCAGATAAAGCTTCAGATACCTTGCAACCATTATATAAGCCACAATATGGCCAAGTGTTTTTACTCTGATGTGTAGCTTGTTTAATGACACTAGGTTAAGGCTTGCGGATAGCGCGAAAATGTTTAAATCTCTGTATAACATGTCATGATTCCCTCACACCGAACAATACGGGTAGGAGGGGCTTCAGCACTATTTTGAGAGCGCTGTTGTGGCTACTTGGCGCATCAATCTAAAATGTAATTTCGTTATTCGCGGTCATGGACGCCAAACAGAAACAATTTAAGTTTTTTTTTTGTTTTTTTTTCGCGCCAAACCGTTTTAGCTTTCTTTTTTTTTAGAAATCAAACGGTGTAGTAGTTTCATCGCAGGTGCGGACGGAATGTTTACACCTACATTCTTAAGATGTTTCCGCCAGGTCTTCTTGACTGCGGTACATTGCGTGTGGATCGCTGATGAGTGCTACTTGACCTATACTGCAGAATTCAGTAAAGAAGGAGTAGCCTGAAAGGAATTGAAGTGTAGCAGTTCAATCACAGGGCTTTCGCTCACAGGTATATATAAACGCGCAAGCAGTCAGACACTGAGCCTAAGAAAGAAGCCCGACGTTATGAGTCGTAATACCGAAGGTTCACTTGCTGCCAGATGATGGGATATACGCTTTGTTAAGTGTTCATATACCTTTAAGAATGCGTTACAAATAAAGCATAATGGTATTCACTTCTGTTCAGCGCGAGCTGTTGATAAATAAACTTATCGTACGCATTTAACGACAGTGATGTCGGAGCGAGAGAATTCCGGCGAACGCTCGTCTTCAGTCCGCCGCCTAACAACTCCATATAGGATTCACGGTTATTGGCGAAGAAACACTGGTACTGACAGATGGCGGCGACTTTGATTGGTCCAGCTGCATTTGAGTGCCATTAAAGTACGTAGCCGGTTGCAGCTGGTATGAACAGTGGAAAACTAATCGTACAACTTTAACCTCACCCTACCGAAAAATCCGGTATAACTTTTCACTATCCGGATTACGGAGCCGGAAACTTGTTTCTGGAAACCCGATATCCAGATTTCAGACAAAGGAATAATTTCTGAAAACCATAATTCCACATAGAGTCCAGTTAGAATCTAGATAGATTTACGGTTCCATAATCCGGACAGCAAAAAGTTATACCGGATTTTTTGGTAGGGCAGGCACGCAGTACGCGTTTTGTTTTTTGTTTTTTTTTCTCCGCAATTTGCTAAATCCAGGGCGTATTATTTATGCCCATTCCGAATTAGCAAGACCTCGCCCTTCAGCTCGCTCCAAGTGTCAAACCGAAGGTATGAATTCAAGATATAAAACGAAAAAACCTTGTATCGGCAAGGCAGAGGATCTCGCTGTGGAACAGGTACCTGAGCCTTCTTTTTCGGCACACGCTCTTCGCTAGACTGAGTCGACATGAAAGTCGACCGAAACACCGATGCCTCCGAAACCAACACCGGGGAAACGCGCCTCTCGCGCATAAAAGAGTGCGCAAAAAAAAAAAATAATCTTTGAGCCTTTTCACACTGGGGAAGAAGGAAGAGCAGCGGAGCTGTATTATGTGCCGCCATCTATGAGCGACGGCAGCAACCAGACAACCAGCAAGCCGATTGTCTGGTTGCCACAGTCGCTAATAGATGGCAGTAGCTCTTCAGACGGTCGTGTCGAACGTTATTTGTCCACGGACACGAAACTGGGCAAACTAGTCCTTGACAACTCCGCTGTAAAAGTCAGGGAGATGGATCGCATGTGCTGTCAAGCTCAACCCAGCATTGCTGCGTGCTGATGTTCGATGTCACCCGCTTGAGGCCGTCGCTTAGTGCAGATTACACACGAATGCCGCCTCAGCGTTCATCTGGAACTTCCTGTCTTGTCTGCTTAAACGCGAGCTCCGGCCGCATGCTGCCGCAGCACTCGCGTTCAACCTGAGTCCCGCCACGCAGGCCTGACGTAGAAACTCAAGCAGTATAGGCCTTGTTATTCAGGAGGTGTATACCCCGCGCAACATGAAGGTTCCCAGATAGGTGATAAAGTGAGTAGGACGCGCCTCCGACTGGCGTGCTTAGCCTCCAATTCCGTTCACGCATCGAAAGAGGTTCCGAAGTGGCAACAAATGACGTCGCAAAAGCCGGAGTGTCATACCGCTGGACGTCGCGATCCCGGAGGTCGGGCGTAAAAGTTCTGGCAGATAGTACGAGTCCGTTTTCCCCCGCTCCTGGGTTACCATGTCAGTATTGGACCAACTCGCCTCTACAGTTTCTTAGTTGAAATCATTATATTTAAGACTATATATAAATACGTTAATCAGTAACTGAATTACGTCACCAGTTTTAGATCCCCCCTAAAAATAGTACCTGCAAAAAAAAAAAAAAAAAAAACGCGCGTTGCAAATTTATTTTTAGACAGACCCGCGGTGGTGACAACTATTTCTGAATTATTTACGCCGTTAGCATAGCGATGACCGTAGCATTTTCAAACTCCGTCTTGTTTTGCGATGCAAATAGCTTTAAACCCCACAGAGCAGTATTTTCATCCAACTTGCCACCTTTATCGATGCTGGTTTCATATATCCTGTCCTGCTCAAACTTCTGAAAAATGTCACATCGTCGCAAGATCACGTTTATACTTTTCATGTCAAGTTTTTCTTTTTTATTCTTTTTTAGACTCTACACGCTCTGAGTACATAGCAAGCGACAGTTATCAAGGCACGATGGGTGGAAGTTACATTCTTGGCAGAACAGAAGACGACATGTCACTTTCAAGCCGCCCTAACACTTATATACACTCTTAACACTCACATACATAAGACTTTCTGCAGACATGTTTGAAGCGCACATTTTTATGAAACAAAAATACTTCAAACATTCCTGAGTCGCGCCCGCAGATAATTATGTCATCGTGTATTTTGTATGATGTACGAGCTGTGTGAATGCGGCTTTATGGTCGTCGCCACTAAAGTTATACACTTGTGGAACCGGTTTCGTCTGTGTCTAACAATCTCGAGCTCGCCTCGGACGCGTTGTTCCATCAATAGCTACCTGAGAAGACCGTCAGCAGATACCATCGATCACGCAGAGTCAAGACGCACTGAAGTGTTCCCTTTTTTTAACGCTTTCCAAATATTCACAACTCGAAGTTTACGAAGGTATACCTCGAGGCGCCGATGTTTGCACGTTTGCGAGTACATTTATTTCACTCGCTTGCGCGATTACAGCGCTCAGATTTCGAAAGTATGCCCAAATACCGTAGAGACTAGTACAGGAAACTCCGGTGTAAAACGGGAGACGGAAGTAAAAAGCGATCCTGGCGGTATGGAGTGGATGACTCGCCACTTTCCCTGGAAATCAATCAAGTGGGTCTGACTCACTAGAGAAATTGATAGTCTACGAAATATTTCCTTTTCTTGATGGAGCATAAGGAGCGTAAGCTCGTGATATTGGACCTCTTGGTATTTTGATGTCAAAATGCAGAGTGTTGTATAGACCAGTCAGGATTTGTATAGCGATTTTGTACAATCTAAATGATTACTAACCTTTTCTGAGCTTGTTGATTTATTTGTTTTATTCCTACCGAAACATGTCTTATTAAATGCCCTGGGCTCCAAATGACCATAATTGGCTATAGGCATCAATTTTTATGAGACCGACGTGAAATGACTCCAAGTGGCCAGAAGTGATTATTATTGATAATTATGTGACTTTTTTGTTTGCTTACTCTTATGAACGGCTCCAAGTAGCTTTTGTTAGCTGTTAGCATCTTCTTTGACCAGATTGACCTTAAAGAGCTGCCAATTGGCGAGATAATTGACAATTTGCTGCGTTGGTGAATGCATATGGCTTCAACTGGCTAATATTGTCTATCAGCCTCCACTTTTATATATATTTGGTAGATATGGCTACAAATATTAATAATGAGTAATGAAAAATGAGCTATTTCCGTTTATAAACTGGAATGACTTCAAGTAGCTGTTGTTGGCTATTAGAATATATTTGTGACCAGATTGGCTCAATGGCTACTAATCACTGTTAGTCAGTGTAATAGCAATTATGTGCTGTCTGAGTGTTTATGAATGAGAATGACTTCAAATGGCTATTATTGGCTATAAGCACCTATTTTCGAATAGATTGACTGTAAATGGCTACAAACCACTATTAGTAGATATCTATTGCTTGAGCTATTTTTATATTTACAAAATGGAATGGCTTCAAGTGGATAATGTTGGCTATTCAATACGTCATGAATACTATGTCACTATTTGTCACTAATATTCATTATGAAGCGATTTAAGGTAGTATTATTAAGATGATACGCTATTGCCAACTATAGACACTTGCAGCCATTTTCATTCATAAGTATAGAAACAGCAGGATATGCCAGAATATTTTTGGCAATTCGAGCCAACCAGGTAAATAACAGATGCCTATACCTAATAATACCCAGATGAAGTAAGCAAATCTACGAACATGCCAATTGCATAAAATGTAAATAATAACGACTGAGATTTATGTATAGCCATTTCAAGCCAACATATTCCAATAGCCATTATATCCACTTGTAGTTAATCTTACTTCTGGGGCACCAATGCCTTAGAAGTGTGAATAATAGTCGCTAATAGTTATGCATAACCAAATCAAACTGATCTGGTCAACAATAGTTCCCAAAAACCAATATAAGCCACTCGAAGCCAATCTCACCTTTAAGAGCATGAGTTTCCCAGTATATTTCAGTTTTAGCTAATAATAACGACTTGAGGTTGCCCTAACATATAAATAGTCGAATAACTAGAAATAATGACTAATAGCCTAAATGAAATAGGCATTTACCTACACAGGGTCGATATGAAAACAAGTTTACTGATTTGCATGTGAACTTTCTGGAATTCATCAATTAATACAAAGGTGCCATAACCGAGTGTTTCTCAATATTAATCGGTAGATGTGTATTATTTACCGACAGTGTAGGGGGGGGGGGGAAGACAGTAGAGCACACGACCGATATCAATTTAATTTTCGGCACCGAGTTGCCCACTCCACGCCAGGAGATGGCACCACTTCTGTGTCTCCCGCCAATCCTATGCATATTTGGTTGAGCTTCCTGCATTGGCCTCAACGGCATTTGTTCCAGTATTGGCAGTCAATGGTATTTGGTATGCCATTGCACGTGACGTATACTTGCGGTTTAAACTCTCACCGGAATTCACGCTGTGACGCTTCGCCCTGTAAATTTCTATGCGTATTTTTTTTTTTTTTTTACCTTGCTCAAGGTTTTTTTTTTGCGTTGTATTTGTCTGTAGCGGTGGAAATAGTCGCGGTTTCCTTATCTCCATTAATAAAAGTACAGTTCACCATACCCATGACGTCACATTGCGCGTTTGGCCAATCCTCGAAGACCCACCAGGAGCGACGCTTTCGGTCACGTCCGTCGCCAATTCACGAACAAAACACATTTCGTCAAGAAGGCAGAAAGAAAACTTTCCAGCACTGCAACTCTTGATAGAGGGAAACAAGCATTTTCGGGGATGCACACACACCAGTTTGATTACTAACATAATTCTAAGGAAAACTAGAAAAAAAGTCCGAGAACACTTATGCACTTCTTATGAGTTCTGAATGCGAAAGTATGAATGTCCAATTGAATGCTGCTGAGTTCTCGGAGTTTTGCGGTCCGCCGGCGATATAGACGACTCAGGCAACGCCATGTTCATCGGCGCCATGTTCCTCGGCGCCGAGAGGAGCAGAAGCAGCCGCAGCGCCGGCAGGGAATGCGGTGCTGTGCCTAGCGTACGGAGCGGGAATTTCCACCTCCCAATTCTCCCTCCCCCCCTCTGGGCCGCCATCGCCGAACGCCGGCCACCCTCCCTTTAGTTGTTAATTTCTCGCGGCCACAAACAACACCGGGTGCGCGGGAATTGAGGAGCCGTTTTTCGCGGTCACATCCAATGCCGGCAGTGCTCAATCAAAAAATTAATGCAGTATCATAAAAAAAAAAAAAAAATTAACGCAGCTTGCTTTTTGAGGGTTAAAAACCTGCGTGGTATCTAGAGAGGAGCTTTGACTGGCAGTCAAAGTTTTATAGTTAACGGTCTTTCTTCTGCTTTAAAACGAGCGAGTTCTCAAGAAGCCTACCTGTCGGCGGCCAAAATGACTAGTGATTTCAAAAGGAACCAAAGAACATAGTAAGTACGCGTTGATGCGGCCCAAATACGTCCCTGCTCGTACTTATTGAGTTCTGTCATCGACGGTGCCACTCGCCACGCTTCCGCAATTCATCGACCTCACAAAACGATGTTAAGAACTAATCGCCTGCGTGCGAACTAACGGGGAAATAGCGTTTCTTGAAACCCACCCCCCATACCGCCGAGGCTGCAACATCTCTGATGCCGGTGTCGATCGCCATGTGTCATGGTGCGGCAAGCACGCTCGGGAATTTCTGAGCGTGTAGAACCCCTACGCGTGTACTCCACTCGGGCTGATCCGTGAGTGAAAAGAATATCTTACACTTAGGCAGCTGATTCCAACCAGCCTCACAACGAGTCTCAAATCGTGTGGCAGTCCGCTGTAAGTTGCTCTCACATACAAAAAAAAACAAAAAAAAAACACGAGACATGTTAATTACATCGACGAGTGAGAACTTTGGTCATGTCTAGACGGGGAAAAAATTAAATTCTGCCATAATCAAAACAATTAATTACAAAATGAAAAGTAATTGAATGGTTGTTTTATTGATTGATTGATTAATTGGGGTTCCATTGCGCAAGGGCAACTCAGGCCAGAATGGACCAAGAGTGCAAAAATGAAAAATGAAAGACGTTTACAATTCCCGGTAATGACGAATTAGATGAGTTTGAGGGAAGGGTACGGTGGGGAGGGTATGCCCCTCCTCCGCCTCCGTACCCTCCCCTCCCATGTCCTATCTACTCCCATTTAGCTGGAAACGTCTATGCTAGGTCTAGCGGAAAAATTTTCCCGTTACCTTCAGCGGGGAAACGTCTCATAATGCAACGCGCGGCTACGCCGACGGCGACACGACGTCAACGGCGACGTTCCTTGAGCTGGAAACAAGCTTAAGAGCTGCGCTCTAAAAATAACTTTCACGTTGCGGAAGGCTATATCTCCGCCAAAATGTAGCACTCGAGGTCTGGACCAGATAGCATAGTTTCCGGAGTAGAGTCACTAAATAAAGCTACGCTTTCAGAGTACCGAAACTCCCCAACTACGCGTCTGAAGCGCGGCAGGCGCCGCTATCTTGGGTCCGCGAGCTGATAGAGGAGTGACTCTAGCTGAGCCAAGAAGAGCTGTAGCCGTCGCCTGCGCCAGTTGCCGCGGCCGCAACTGTGGCAGCGAATCAAAGTCGTGTTGTTCGTATCTCGACGTAACACGGAAAACGCGCGTGCTGAGCGACGGACTTCAGCGTGCGCGCGAAGTAAACAGCAAACACCAGCAGGCAGAGGATCGCTGGACCCAAGATGGTAACGTTGAAAAAACGCGATGATGATGATAGCGACTCACGTGACTGCCGCTGTCCAATGATGACGCAGCGAACCAGAATATTGTTGAATAGAGCGACTGTATTGTCGGCAAAATGCCAAAGAAAAGGAATGCGGTACTCTGAAAGCGTAGCTTATTTAGTGACTCTATTCCGGCCTAACCGTTACCTGATTCAAAAAGTTATAAGCGATTTTCTTAACTTTTTATGAGAAAATGGCTGCTGGCAAAACCCACGAATACATGGGGGTAAATGGCGCGAAAACTTTCGCAAACTGACCCTATTTTCACATTGAAACTTTTTGAAATTAAGTTTTAACTTTTCGATAAGTGAAGTGTTATTTCTGAAACTTTAATATCTGGTCCGACCACGAGCGTTGCTTACATTGGGGAAGCGGAGAATAAACGAACGGCGATGCGGAGTTAATTTTTTCAACAAAGCATAACAGTGCTTGTGCGTGTGTGGGTGGGGGGGGGGGGGGGGGGGCGGGGGGGGGCACGCTGTAGGTTTTTTTAAGGAAACCCTAGGTTAGCTGTCCAGGTTGGTCCCCGTGGGCCGCTCTTAGAGCCCACTTTCTGTTACTTTACAAGAGAGGCCATAATCTACAACGTACCAAAAGGGACGAGAGGGGGGGAGGGGGCGAGAGCGGGAAACAGGGGAGCATGGCCGAAAAATAAAAACAAGCTCTGCTACTAGTGAGTTCACTTTACAAACGCTAATTTTTCCGAAGTTCTTGGTTTAGGTGAGTACGCAAGCACCATTCTTCTCTATTTTTATGCAAAATCAGGGATGGGCAGTATATCAAATACGTGTATTTGAAATGCGTATTTCAAATACTTTGTGTATTTTGTATATGTATTTAATTACAAATTGGATAATGTATTTGACGTGTGTATTTAAATTCTAAAACGTGGGTATTTCAATTACAATTGTAATTAAATACAATTTTGTGGGCCAAAAAATACATATTGTTTTTATGCATGTGGTTGTAAGATATAGTCTCCACCCTTTATTCGGCCATGGGGCTTTTTTCTTTTTCTCCTCCGGCTTTATTTTAAAGGCGCTGTCCACAGCAGGAAGGAAACTACTTTCTGCACCGAATGCAGTGTTTCTCAATCAAGCACAAGCGTTTAGTGACTTTGTGATTACGGTGCTAGTCCGGGGCAAGAATAGTGACGAAATCGACGTTCACAGCCAGACTGGCTAAATAAGTGCCTGTGACAACTTGTGATGCTATCCAGCCTGATTTCCATCCATATTTTTGCCTGGAACACTCTAAATGCGCGGGTCGTCCAGATTTTCGTAACTGGTGCGTAGGGTTGTGCGAATATCCGAAATTTCGAATAGTAGTTCCGAATAATACACTGTTCGATATTCGCTTCGAGGAAAACTGCACCATTCGCCTTTTTTGAAGTGCTGATTGCGGCGGGTTAGCCCCGTTGAGTGCGCTTCTCACCAAAAACCGGTGCGCTGTGGAGAAGCAATACCAGCGGAAGTGAGCTCCGCGGGTGTTGCTTCTCCACAGCGCATCGGTGATTGGTAAGAAGCGCACTCAATGGGGTAGCCCGCCACGGTAAACACTTGGATAAGTACGAATATCGTAATTGCGTGCTTGGAAGTAAAGCGTACTTTCAAAGTGGGATGGTGCACCTATGCCGATTGTATTCGAAAATAAATGAAAAGTTTGTTAATGTGTATATCTACATTATAGTAAAAGTTTCAAAATTAAACTGTTATGGAATAGTATACTTTGTTAGGCAGTGATGGCCTTACAACTTGCGTTCATCATGCACGATTCATTCGTTTTAAATTCCAGATTAAAGAAAGAATATTTTATATAGCAAGATTTGTAAATTCGCTCCTTTGGGTATAGTTGGCCATCTCTACAGGATTCATTTTATGTCAAGTCCGTCGTTTGCTTCCCATCCCAAGACACTAGACCTTCTAAGGTTACAGTTTATAAATATGGATAGATTAAACTTATTTTAGAAATGAACAAGTAGAACAACCTTCAGAAGTTTAGCTGGGTTTTCGTCTAAGTATTATGCAATGGTAGTGAAAGGCGTGGGAAAACTATTCGATACTCGAATCGAAAATATTGGTGCAAAACCACTATTCGCTTCGAATTCGCTTCGAACTCAATACCTACTATTCGCAAAAGACTACTGGTGCGAGTTACAATAATAAAGAATTCTCTTGCTAGTGCTGCGCGTCTTGATCGTCTCGGTTCTTTGTTGGTCTATACCAAAATGTAATCAACAAAAAAAGTGCTTGAAGCTCTGTACTTTTTTCACGTATTGCGTCCAAGCAGATTACTTTTTTTTTTCTGATTATATTTCTATTACGTTACTAGAGCCTCGCACACTAACTCCCGAGTGATCGATGCAAAATAAAAATGAGATACCCAGAAACCCGTTGCAGGTGCCCTGAAGTCGTTGACGCCAATTTTGAGGAATGCATTTGGAAAAGTACTTGGAGGAGACTAAATACAATTGGTTGTATTTGTATCTTGTACTTAAATGCTTTTTTGGAAATATAATTAGATTTGTAATTAAATACATTTTTGACGAAGTATTTTGTATTAGTGTTTCGATACATATTTGCATGTATTTTACCCATCCCTGTGCAAAACCTAAGCATGTCAAATTAGTAACTTGGAGAATTGCTGTGTGCGAACAGAACGTATAGGCAGATGGAACTGCAGAAACAGCTATAAATTTTGTTTACGGGAGAAGACATTTCTATAGTATGTTTATTCTTACAAAGTTTAATATGTATTCTTTCAGAATTCTTCCACTCGTTTTAAACTCGTGTGGCAACAATGAGCGCAAGTTCCCACAAAAACGAGACGTGAGGCTTTATTGGGAAAAAAACGACGAGAGGGCAGAAATACACCGCTAAAATGGGACTGTCCCGGCCAAAAACGAGACGTCTGGTCACCCTTTACTTGGGAGATGTCTGTTCTTCGCACGATAGTTTAACTCCATTTCTCCTAGAGTAGTCTTTCTGTATCTAATGTCAGGCAAGTGCGCTGACCCTCAAATGTTGCGGAGTCTCTATGATTCACAAGTAGCAAAACCGAAACCAATTTTTTGCGGTCTTCAAAAAAAAAAAAAAAAAATTCCAGGAAGAGAGGAAGCCATAATGATCAAATCATAAGTGCATAAATAAAAAGCGATTCAAAGCTCCAGCAGGCCAAATAATTTAAGCATGTATTTTCGGCAGTTCGGAAATGGCGTAATGAGCGTTAATTTGGCCCTGTTCGTCAAACAGAAGCGAACAAAAAAAAAAGCGGAAAATCTAAACTAAAATAAACGCGTGCCTTTCGTTGTGTGTGACTTTTTATGCGACCAATCGGGGCATTAAAAAAGTACAATTCGGTTATCAGTGCCCAAAGTTTACCTATCACTGAAAATACATTAAACGACGCGCATTTTCCCTTTGTTGTTCTATATTTTGAAACTTCGGAACAAATGCTTTTTCTACTTACTCCGTTCGTCAGAACCATCATGTAAAGGCGCTGATCCCCAGAACTGTTAAACAATCGGCAGTGTGAGTGGTCCGACAGCAGAAATAAGTTAATGTGACGTGTCTGCGAAGGAACTGCATAGAAAGAGAAAGTAACTGTTAACTTGGTCGGCATCGAACAAAGACTACACGGAGCCCGAGTTCGTCTGCTTCTTTCCTCGTGGCTGTGGTGGCGTGAGAACGCCGAGCTCTGATTGGCTCTGATTAGGGGATAGTGGGTAGACCTCAAGGCAAGCTGCCTTGAGGTATATCCACTATCTTTCCAGTCAGAACCAATAAGAGCTCGGCGTTCTCACGCCACCACAGCCACGAGGAAAGAAGCAGACGAACTCGGGCTCCGCATTGTTTGATATTTCCGAGTCAATTACAAAGGAGACCATAAAAACAATTATGGGTTATAGTTTATATTATCTGCATATTGCGTGTCGTCGCTGGTTGGATGAGAGTGGCAGAGACGCATTTCAGTTGTTATCCCACCTCGAACGCGGGCTTTTTGGCTTTGATAACACTTAGGAGGCTCGTGAGCCTCGACCGTGCTCGCGCAACCAATACACGGTGGAAGGCAACGGAGTGTGCTGAAGGCCGCGGACATTCGAAGGAGGCGCCATGCCGTCCTCATTCTGCCAGTGATTCTGGTAGGACATAAGTAAAATGTTTTATTGCACGTGAGAGTAAAGCTCCTGAAAGGCGATTTTTGCTTTGATATGTCAAGAATAAAGACTGGAACGCAAGTGCAAAAAAATTCCGGCCGAAAAACGCACGCAATTTAAAAGATGCAAAAGTCGTCCATCCCAAGCCATTCTCGAGAAACGAGATTATATTTACTGCGCGTAACTAGCCAGCAGGGCTTTTGTTGAAAGTATATCCGCCATTTCTGTAGAATAAAAATGCAATAATAATGTCACTGTTTTTTTGTGTTTTTTTTTTTTTTTTTTAAATGGTGTAGAGTTGTTATGCGATGGTTTTTTTTGCACGTGTATTCGAGCCTTGAAGGCTAAAACACGTGCAAGAGAAACAAATCCAAAAACGCGCGAAATTCGGAAAGCGCTTAAGTTCGTACCACGCTATACTATCGAAGAAGTGCCAAGTTCGAAATGTTGGATATCAACAAAAGCGGAGAAGCGCTGTTGATTGGAGGCCGTCACAAAAGGCAATGAGAATATCTGCTACCCTAAATAATTTTTATTTTCTTTTTTTTTTACCTTCCACTTTAAGGCTCACATATGTGATTCCAACGCGTGTTTGTTAATTTTACCTTCTAAAAAAGCTGAAGAAAAGTCACGTTCTGAATTCCGTGCCATTTTCGGTTGGTTTTTCTCACATATGCTCCCACCTATAGATCGTACAATTTTGTTCCCATTTCTCTCCTTAGGAAAAGCTTTTTTGACTTCATCGTTCCACAAGAGCTGGAAGTCCAATCCCCGAGCTCTTATAACATTCTCAGTACAAAGAACAGAGGAGTGTGGCTGTGGAAAACATTCTGGGCACGAGCCGCCGGGACAACTCCCAAGCACTTGTTGAGCCCATCGAGCATTTTTGGGTAAATGTTATTTCGGAAATATAGTTTAGTTACAATTACAACTGCTTTCCAACTAGTTAATTATAAATAAAATTGTTACCTCACAAATAGGTATTAATTACATCGACAGATTAATTTTACAGGGTTAACACTTTACAAATGCTTTACTTCCAAAGGTATAGCAGAGTTAAGTGCCGTATAGTAATATATTTTATGTCCCAGTTTTAGAGATATTATTCACCATTTTACATGAGTTACATGGTGCGCCTTTATTTGACCTCGTCATTACTCGTGCAAATGTGGTGCGGGCCAGTTGTTTTTCTTCCAACATTATATTGTAGTTTCCTTTCTATCGAGGCATTTCAAATAAAATAAGGTATTCCTAGTATTCTACGATCCGGAATAACCGAATGGACGTTAAAACTCGTCTTTTATTCTAAAACTGACAAGAGTCGCAGTAAGATATTCAATGTACAGCAGGTGTTCCAAGAAAATTTACAAGGTTTTATTTGACCGCAAATGTAAGCTAAGCATCGCCGAACGCTCGTTTTCCGCTGAGATGTAGCACCAGAGGTCCGAACCAGATGCCATAGTTTCAAGACAAACCGTTATCTTATTAAAAAGTTATGAGTGATGTTTTGAAAATTCTAATGGGAAATTGAAGACCGACAGTGCTCTCGAATACCTGCAGCCGAACGGCGCCAATTAGCGAAAACGGGCAAAAACGGGCCCCATTTTCTTGTTGAAAGTTTCAGCAAATCAATGATAACTTTCGATTGAGGCAACGGTTAGTGCTGAAACTTTGGAATCTGGTTCGAACCGACAGCGCTACATTTAGGCGGAGAATGAGCGTTAGGCGAGGCATAGTTTATTTTTGTGGCAAAAAAAACAAATAAAGAAAAACGTTGTAATTGATTTACATCGTTTTTTGCACATTACTCTTACATTGTTTTACAATTTTTTCATGCTTTCTTTTCATCTTGACAAGGGTAAAATATTTCACCTGTGGGGCATGTTTTGGGCCAACCTGCAGGTGTTGTCAAGTTTACAGTGGCTCGGCTCTACGCCGTTGGTTCATACACTGGTGCAGTTTCGTCGCTTTTATAAGCCCCACAAGATGTCAAAGAGTATACTAAGAAAAGTTTGTCAGTGTCTCCGTAGAAAATAGGCTCCATCGTGAAAAGAATCGCGGGTAAGGTAGTAGAAATCGTAATTCGACTTCTGAACTTACCGAGGATAAAAATAATTAAATTGCAGCTACAATTTCTTTTCGGTCAACAATAATTATTTCAAGTTACAAATTACAAAAAGTCGTTGCAGTAATTCAGTTCATGCAAATAAATGGCTACCTAAGTATTCCAGGAAATAAGAGTTAACTGTGCTTGATTTTCTACTGTGTTTTCTGAGACCCTTTTCGCTAGTTCTGCATTTTGCGTCCCAAGCAACTTCCGCTCAATTGAGACGACAAACAATGGCCACCACATTACTGTTACTCGCAACGTCCATGAAATAGGTTCTCCGAAATAGGATCGGATAGCGATAGATTTCTTGAACATTTTTAATACTCCACTAACATGCATAGCAGAAGGACGTTGCTAAATGTCAGACTTGGTTTCTGCTGCACTTTAGCGTCCGACCAGTCGTGGCATAAACATATGTAGACCTCGCAATTGGGCTAGTGGGTGAACGTTAAGAAACATGGTGTAAGGCAGAACAAAAAAAGACACAAAGAAGTTCCGTGTGTGTCTTCTCCCATGTGCCCGTTATTTTTTGCGCCTTACACCATGCTTCCTAACATAAGCATATGCTTGGAGAAGGTCAAAAGAAACTAGGGGTGTCGCGAACCACCCCAGGTTCGATTTCGAAAGGTTTCAATATTTGCGAAGCGAACTGAGATTCGATTTCGAAAAAAATCGATATTTTCGTATCGACCGAGATTCGAATTCGAAAAATTCGCAACTTTCAATCACAGTGGAGTTTCGAATTTGAGAGGTTCGAAGTTTTTACTGTTTCTAAAATTTCGGATTTAAATATTTCGAATATATTTTTACGTCAGGTTCGATAAATTCGAAGATTTCGATTTTCTTTGGAAATAAAATTCGAAAACTTCGAACGCTTCGAATTTTCAGAGACATGAAGTTCGAACAAATCGAAGATTACGAATTTCTTTCTGCATAAAGTTCGAAAAGTTCGAAGGTTTCTGTGGTGTATTTACAAGAAAAACAGGTTACAGAAATCAGCCCGGTTAGAACACGGCTGCATGCTGTCGCTCGGGTAGGCAGTCAGTCAGTTCACGCGATAGTCTCGCGCGCACGCTGCACGTCAAGGCACGAGCACTGCCACACATATAACATTTCCCCCGGCGTAATTGAAGAAACCAAAGGAAAACACACACTGCACACAATGCCGAAAACGTTATGCGTCGTATCTGTCTGGAGGACGACGATGTCTTGTGGGGTAGCGCTGTTGCACAGCGGGGTTGTCGGTTGCCCTCTGTGGGGTGGTTGCAAACTCACTTACCACAGGCTCGTCGACGCAGTTGTCTGGATCCCTCAGGTCGGGCAGGAATCCGTCTGATGTGGCTTGCATCGAGTTTTCACGATGATGAAACATCTGGTCTTGGTGACGGCGCCAGATATATATGCCCCGAGCAGTCGTGACTCGAACCTGGAACGACACTGGGCCAGATTGCTTCAGAATTGTGCCGGGAATCCACTTCTGGGAGCCTCTATAGTTCCTCACGAGAACATTGTCGTTTACACTAAAAATCCTTGCTCGTGCCTTTCGCTGCGAGGTCTGGACGAACTGTTGATGTCCTACTCTTCCCCCAACGGAAGGCTTAATGGCATCGAGTATTGTGCGAAGTCTTCTGCCTAAGAACAAACTGGCAGGTGTTTCTTTTGTCGTCGTGTGAGGGGTATTGCGGTACGTCAGAAGAAACGTTTGTACCGTCAACTCCAGGAAGTCTTGCGGTCGTCCTTTTCGGAGAGCAGACTTCAATGTCTGGAAAAACCTCTCCGCGAGGCCATTAGTACTCGGGTGATAGGCCGCGCACAAGATGTGACGACCTCCTAGATTCTTAATAAAAACCTTGAATTCTGTTGAGACGAACTGAGGACCGTTGTCCGTAACAATGGCCTCAGGTACACCAAAACGACAAAACAAGTCCTGAAGATGTTGGACCGTGTGCTGTGATGTCGTCTTCTTCATCACATAGACCTCGGGCCACTTTGAGTGTGCATCTACGGCTACCAAAAGCATCTTCCCCTTGACTGGACCCGCGAAATCCAAATGCACCCTTTGCCAGGGCGATGTCGGCCATGCCCAAGGGTGGAGGGGCGCGGGGACTGGCTCGTTCCGCTGTTGATAGCATTCGTGACATGCTTTCACTTGCTCTTCCAGGTCATTGTCAATTGAAGGCCACCAGATGTAGCTCCTGGCTAATTTCTTGCTTCTGACAATACCTGGATGACCGAGATGTATCTCTTCAAGCAGGAGATTGCGCAGTTTTGGTGGTACAACCCGCATGCCATACATCAGACACCCTTGATGCACA